TTTGTGGTTAGACATTTACATGAACATCAAGAAAGTAGCATAAGAGCAGTCATGCACATCTTTATGATTTTGGCAGCTGTAGAGCAGCATAGGTGCTGTTGATTTGGCTGGACCGAATATTTCTACGTATCTTGGAAAAGTCCACCTCGGCGTACTGAAAGAGCAATGAAGGAACACATTTAACATTTCAGATGTTGTTAGTTGTCCCTGTAGCAAAATTAATTCTATAAAATACTATAGTTATAATAATAGGTCAGCAAGAATCCTCACTTACAGAAATACAGTTAAACATTTAAAAGTTATGATTGTGGTTTCACATAATTTACCTGTAATTGGTTTGGGTCCTGATGCTGTTGTGTAGCTTGCATCTGCTGTCGATCAGTGTTGAGTTGTTGTGATTGCTCTGCAGACCTTCTTTTTCCAACAACAAAAACTTTTACTACTCCTAAAAAGGAACAGTGATTTAGTCAGATTCAGTATTTAATAAAGGTTGTATTATTATTATAATTTTTTTTAATTATAAAGACATGTAAGTCCCATAAATGGAAAAATAGCAATGAAATAGTTTAAATTAAGAACCTTTAGAATGACATCATATCAATGTTTTTACAGATGGCAGAAATTAACTCACCGATCAGTGCAATGAGCAGAAGTCCGTTCATCAGAGCAGATATGATGATGATAATCTGCCATTGTGTTTGATTCTGCTCAGTATACACATCCACTCTATGATTGTGACACTCAGTTAATTGAGCTGATTCTGTAAAGAAAGAGTCCATAGTCTGTAAAGGTAACAGTTGTTACAATTGGTACAATGGCTGTGATTTTGTGAAACTGAAAATAGTGATAGTATATTGGAGATACTATATGGATATAATTATGTTATTCATAAGTATTTAAAAAATTGAGACAATAATTTAAGTAGTTATTATCATCAATATGTCTTGATCACTGAAGAAGAAAATTAACTCACCGGTGAAGTATATTCTGGTGCTGTTGCTGAGTTTTGGAGGTGTTTCTGTGTTCATACAGTAATAAACTCCTAATTCATCAGCAGTTACATTATTAATAACCAGACGATGTTTAAACTGCACTGAATATTTATTTCTGAATGTTTTATTGAAGTAAAAGGGTGATGTTGTGGTTGATAAAGATCGTAGAATGACTGTCGGAGGATCTGCTGTTTTCAGTAAAATCCAATAAACCTCATTTTCATCAAGATCACAGTTTATGCTCACATTTGCTCCCAGATCAGTTAGTAGATCTGCCACTGCATACTGACAACAGATTAATACATCTGTAAGATAAAAATAATAATTATAATAATAAAATAAAAACAGACATCATAATTATGATCACTCTTTTAAAACCACTTTGAATCATAACAGTTTTTATTTTTGTAAGTTTACAAAGTGTGTAAATGTGTAAATATATACATAACATGTAATAAACTCACAGAGCTGAAGTTGAATGATCTTCATCTTGTTGCTGTGAATAAACGTTGTTTCCTCCACACAACACTGAAGCTGAAGTGTGCTGCAACTCTGAAGCAAAAACAGAAAAAAACTTCTGCCACATCAGTCAGAGGAAGTCAAGTTTGCTGACAACACTGTACACACTTTTTTCAAAACCTAATGCCCAACACCTAGTCCTAAAGCACCCCCATCATCACTTTATCTAACAAGTTGAGCATGTTTATTTTGTCTGCATGTGTGTACCCTATGTTATGGGGTCCAAATGTCCCCACAATTATAGTAATACTGTAAATATTTAATACATGTAAATATTTCATTTGTTTATTTTACAAATGTTCTTTGAGACCTACAGAGATCAGCTTAATCTTCAACTGTCAAACATACATTTATGGGATTATTCATTGTGGCCAAATTGTGGCCAATTATGGCCAATGTGTGGCTCTTGTCTGTAATGCAGATCTGGGCCACCACAGGAACATCATTCTTTCTATAGCAGAGGGAAAACTGCTTGTGCAGACTGCAATTGGGACAGAAAAATGCTACGTGGATGGGAGTTACTGGTTTGAAAGAAATTGATCTTTCACATAATGAACTAACTGAACTCATTAGAACCGTTTCTGAATTAAACTGACCATTGTGTAGGCTACTTAAGGGACGGTGTGCGGGACTAGCAATTCAACATATTTTGCAATGAGGAAATAAGTAGACCTTTTACCTTTACAGACTCTGGAGGACAGCAGAGGACAATAGCAATTTAAAGAACATGAGACATTGGTTTTGGTTCTGTATGGAAGGTGACATGGTGTAATAATAATAATAATAATAGTTGTAAATAACAACAATAAAAACAACAATAATAATATAAT